TGTGTGTGTGTGTGTGTGTGTGTGTGTGTGTGTGTGTGTGTGTGTGTGTGTGTGTGTGTGTCCGAGGTTCCATCTCCGAAGATCTGAGCCGTTCCGAAATTTCAATCGGTGCAATGTAACTCTTTTTTTGCAGAAAGTTCGAGGTTTCATGAACAGTTAATTCGTCAAAGTAAGTCGCAAGAAATGATATTTTGTGTACATATTAGGCCTTTCTTCTCTTCAGGAGGAAAGAAGAGGAAGAAAGATGAACTGGTGCAAAAGTTCAGCTAAAAAGAGGCCTATTGTTCGATGTTGTATATGCATGTATATTTTAGGTAAGGTGCATGTGCATTTACGAATTTGATATAAATTATGGATGATGAAAAAAGTAGCTTTTAATTTGATACAATCAAACATATTCAATTAAAATAAATTAAAGAACTAAAAGCATAGACAAGATGTTATTTGCTAATATTTAATAAACATTATAATTTCAAATACATTTAAGCAAACGTTTCGACCAACAATGCTGTAGATTCAACAATGTCACTACATTAACTTTCAAAAGACAATGACCAACTTACTTGTCTAATTGTCATTGTTAAATCTACAGTATTCTTTTATATAAAATATAATCAAAGGATTGTAATTACAAGCAATGGTACATCTTAATATGAATCAAGTTTTTTTTCTAATGTCAATTTTAATGTTCAAAAGTATAAGAATTATTGATCAAGTTCTATTCATTTTGTTTACGAAATTACATAAGGCACGTTTTACACCAATATGACTAAAATATTTATACTGTCTATGTTTTTAATGAATAATTAATGATGTACTTTTGTTTTGTATCATAAGAAAATTAAAAATTATTAAGATATTATTTTGTATTATTTATTTTTGTTACGTTGAAAATGATCTCATTAGTGATCGTAACATTTGCTTAAATATATTTTAGATTATAACTTCCCAAACAATACAAAATTTAAAATTATGATATGTCTTTTAGACACAAAAAATCATCTTATGACCTTTTTAAACACTTTTTGTTGCCTGGGACGTTTATTAAATATTAACAATTAATATCTTGTCCTAACGGTTCTTAGCCGTTTTGTTTATTTTAATTGTTTTATTTAATTTGAGTGGTGTATGTAATTTATTAACAAACATCTTCAATTTTTGCTATTTTTGTCAAAGTTGCTGTATTTTTGCAAGTGAAAATTGGAAGGTAGTATAATGGTATAAAAATTTGGTATAGTATAATGTACAGTTTATATCCAATTATTTTGTTGTACATTAATTTCATAAGTTTCAGATTTGTTTAATCTTTTAATTTATTTACAATTTATATGCTTTGTTATTATTGAATCAAACCAGCAGAAGCAAGTAGTGGATATAAATCTAACCATTCACATAACAATGAAAATTATATGTTATAGTAACAAATATTATAATATGCTTTGACATAGATTCCACGATATCTCATGGATGTTGAGAACATTGGTATTAATCATTAATTACATTATTAGACCTTCTGATCTTTCTAAATAAACCTTAAACTTATTGAATTAACATACAAAAAAATAATTATATATAAAATATAGTACATTTACTCTTTGAATCAATTTTCACTCGAAATGTAGCTAACAAAAATAGCAAACATTAAAATATGTTTGATTGTATAAAAATTAAAAGCTGTACTTTTCTCATCATACTTAATCTTACAGAATAAAAAATTATTTTCTAATAATACATTAACAATAAAAAAAGAAGTTCGATCTTTATATTCAATATAATTAGATTTGTCTTAATTTTAATTATTTGTTAGAACTGTTTTGTCTTGAGTGAAAGCTATAGAAGAATAAATAATATACAGCTTATATTTCATTACTTTCTTAGGTATGATGTCAATCATTTTGTATGTTTAATGTAATTGCTCCAGGAATTTATTTAACACATCTGGATCTTTTAATATATCCTATGAAAATTAAAATCAGTTAAGAAGCATATAAATCCATTGAAATAATTAACAAAATTAAAGTACGAAAAATAACGTTATAATATATCGGTTAATGCAACTGTCAATCATTCTTATTTGAAGTTTTCACCATTATTAATAATAATAACATTAAAACAGATGCGGAAATATTTTCGTGATTTGACAAAGAGGCAATAAAATCGTCGCCTACTACAAGTGTACAAGAGGGAACAGAAACAGACAACAATGGCATATTCTCCGAAGATTATTGTAGCTAGCAATCGTATTAATGTACAATTGGTCTCCAATTTTCACCAGTCTACTGCTACTGCTGATAATTTAAACAGTAATGATGATCATGGATTCAGTGATGATGTTTCAATGTCCCATGTCCAAGAAAACTCTGAAAATGAGCACAGAGGAAACTTTCCCAAAGATACGTATAAAAATCAAGAACTTTCGACTTGGTTATGTTCGTGGAAATTGAAACATAACATTTCACATGATGCTATATCTGAACTTTTGAACCAATTGCGCATGTGTGGACATGCCGATTTACCGAAGGATGCAAGAACGTTAGGAACACTTATGTTTAATCCTGTTGAAATTTCTGCCAGCGGAGGTAATAATTTTCACTATTCACGATTTAAAAAACGCTTTAATTGTAGCAAATTGACAATCGAAAATTAATTTGTGAGATTATTATTAAACGTTATGAAATAAAATATATGTTATGTGAAATATATAAAAGAGTAGAAATAGGACCATCCAGGGAAAATTTTCAATTTAGAGCGAAAAAACGGGAAAAAAATCATTTTTTCGTTCTAGATTGAAAATTTACCTTGGATGGTCTTATTTTGATGTCAAATTCGTATTCAGCGAAAATATATAACTTAAAATATAATATAATAACTAAAAATAGCTAGATCTCTATCTCAGCACAAAGTACTTTTTTTGTGGATTAATACTATAATTTTGTGGATAAATACTATAATTGTATTAAAGTATTTATTATATAAAGTTTTTGAAATTGTTCATTTCTGTATAATTAATTATGTTGTTTTTTATGACATTAAGAGTTTACATGAATATATTGTGCTTCTCTGAAAAATAAAATTTATTATAATAAGATCTCCCAGCTAACTAAAATTGACAAGTTTGATATTGTCGAATAGTCAACTTCGGTATGATTAATATTCCACTTCTTTATTAAGTTATTGGGCATTGATAAAAAATATCTTATAGTTATCAGTGCCCAATAAGTGGCACTGAAGTGAAAAAAGTGGAAACATTAACCATCCAGAGATTGATTATTCGATAATTTATTGTCAATAGCTGGATTAATAATAGTCGATTATTTTCGAGACATTGTAGACTATTAGTCGACATTCAGATTTGATTAAAAAGTCGACTTTTTACTTTTCCAGTCAAACTACTTTCAGTCGACTTAGAATGTCGACTATTAGTCAACTTTTTTTGAGACATTTGTCAAGTATTAGTCGACATTCGGGCTGACTTTGAGGTCGACTCTTGATTTATCTCTTTACTCCAATCAACTTTTAGTCGACTTCGTGTTGTTTAGGTCATCTTCCTGTCTAATTACTCATCCATGCTCAACGGCTGCGTGTCTGAATGCCGTTTTTCCTTTACACGCTCAATGGAGTCTTCTGTTGTTTCCTAGATTTAGAGCTAATGCTCTAAAATCACAAATAATTAATTCTCCTTGTAAAGCGTCTCATAAAGGTATCACTTATACACTTTCGGGGGATCACTCACCAAAAATAATCCAATTAACAGAAGGCTCAAAGAGATCACGAGACTGTAACAAAAGCCCAGAACAATTTCGCCCGCATCCATGCTTTGAATCTTAATTGCCCTAACAGCAGAATCATTGTCCGGAGCAGACGTTGCTTTACAAAACCGAACATCCGCCTACTTTTGAACCATCGTCCCAGCAATTCGAGCAGAATTTTTCGGGCGCACCTACATCCGCGCCCCCCCCTCTCCTTCCCTTACCCCTTCTAACTCACGCTTTGATAACAGCACCAAACCTTCGTCTTCGCTCTTAAATAACCTCATCTCATTTTTAGAAGAACTTCTGGCCGATCAAGGCAGGCACAACAACTTAGAGTTGTTCGTAACACAACTGGTTAATCTGTTCATTGGGTCACTTACGTCCGCCTCAGCGTCTACAAATCATTATTCCGATGTCAATGAGGGCCTGATTGATCCTCCCAACTCGCAATTTTACGCTTCTTACCGAAACAGTGATGATTATTATGAATAGGTTGGCTAAGAGACATTTTCCATATTACAGTGGAATTGTTGAGGGCTACTCAGTAATCTACCTCAGATCCAGATTCTACTAGCGCAGCATGACATCATATGCCTACAAGAAACACTCTTTAAACAGGGCAATAAGTTTCGGCATTTTTAGTCATGTTCAATTTAGAAAGAATATATCAAGTAAAGGAGATAGGGGCGTGGCTATTCTTATAAACAAAAATTTATGCTACGATCCCTTGGACCTTTCTCCTTTCTTACATTCTACATGGGAAATACAAGAAGTAAAACTCGATTTATTATCATCTTCATTTGCAATCATTAACATTTATACATCACCAATAGCTTTACGCCTTCTCAAGTATGTAAGGCTTTATTTGACTTTGGCAACACTTTTGATTATATTCTTATCGTAGGAGACATGAACGCGCACCAGAACACGTTCTGGTATTGCAACTACACCGATAAAGTCGGCCCGATTCTATGCAACGAAATTGACAGAAGCAACTTGATAATCTTAAACAAGGACGCTCCCACGCTTATGCAACCGCCGAACCTGATCTTGGCCTCTCCAAATCTGGCGCTGATTCCTGACTCACAAACTGATTCGGACCCACAAGGCAGCAACCATTTTCCAGTCTGTACTACGATCGGAGGTAAAGTGATACGTTTTAGGCAGTTCCACTGAAACTTGAAATTGAAACTAAAGAAAGAGTAATTGGACGACTTGTCGCACAAACTACAGATCCTTGCTGACGAATTTCTGGTTCAAGCTCTATCCGCTCCGGTAGAAAAATATGAATACTTTAAGGACTTTCTTTTGGAAAAAGCTCGGACCTTTACCAATGATAAATAAATACTTTGGCAACATTTTTGACTATATTCTTATCATAGGAAACATGAACACGCACCCCACGTTCTGGTATTGTGATTACACGAATAAAGCTGGGCAGATTCTATGCAGCGAAATTGACAGAAGCAACTTGGTAATCTTAAACAAGGACGCTCCCACACTAATGCAACCGCCGGATCTGGTCTTGGCCTCTCCAAATCTGGCACTAATCGCTGACTCACAAACTGATTCGAATCCGCAGAGCAGCAGCGACCATTTTCCAGTCTGTACTACGATCGAAGGTAAAGTGACACATTCCAGACAATTTCACTACTAAATTGAAGCTAAAGAAAGAGCAGTTAGACGATTTTTCGCACGAATTATAGATCTCTGCTGACGAATTTCTGGCTCAAGTTCCATCCGCTCCGATGGAAAAATACGAATTAAAGGACTTTCTTTTGAAAAAAGCTCTGGTCTTTATCAGATAAATACTGTGATAAATATTATGACTGGTAAAAACAAAGTTCATTTGATTTGAATTTTTAACATTATACAAGAAATCATTTCTAACAAATTTTATAATTTAAAAATGAATGTTATTCTTAATTCATCAATTTTTCTGTACGATAAATCTTGTATGGTTTGAGTTTAACAGTTTCACAGCTGATTAAAGAGTTCTTTCTCAATGCTCAAATTGTACAATCATCAATCAACTCAAAATCACCAAGAATTCGTGATTCTTTCAATTTATTGTTGCGCTGAAGATGACTTAAATATAAGTCGAAACATTCGTATGTAGTGATAACCAAGAAACTATGTATAAAATAATTATATTTATGGAATAATATATATTAATATATAATATATGTAATAATATATAATATATGTAATAATATATATATAGATATACGCTAAAGTCAACTGCGATTGCTCTCAATTACTCTAATTTCACTTTATAATTAATGTTAATGAATCTGAGAGCCAAATGTTAAACTAAAACTTTTAATTACACAAATTCTTTTCTTCAAAAACATATTCTCTACTTTAAGAATAAATTATTTTCTACGTAATGTTTATTTTCACAACAGATAATTTGTGACATAAGTTCTCTGCTTTCAATACAAATTTTCTACTGAAATAAAAATTATATAGAAAATAATTTTTAAAGCATAGAATGTATTTTTATAAAGCAGAGAATTTGCTTTTAAAGCAGAGAATGTGTTTTTAAAGAAGAGAATTTGTGTAATCAAAGCAAAAAGTATTTATTCTAGCCTTAATTACATATTGTGCATGACCGGGCGCAGACGGATAGACGTGTCGCTGCATCTCGTCGCTATATGACTAGATTTCTTAATCTTATTAGTGAACTTTAACACTTAATATTTCGGTTCGCGAAACCGACATAATTTTTTCTTACAAATTCTTTTGTTTCATGCAAAAACGTGTCGAATAAGCTAATTTTATCTAAATCAAAGGTGAAGACCATTATTCTAAATAATTACCATAATAAAAAATAAGAAATTGAATGCAAATTAAAATTTTATTTAACTTTTATCTTTCCTATTAGATGACGGTAACATTCAACCCAGAAATTTGGACGACAAGTCCGAGCAGGTGGTGGCCGACAAGTCCAAGCAAGTAATGGCTAACAAGTCCGAGCAGAGGATGACCGACAAATCCGAGCAGATGGTGACCGACAAGTCCAAGCAGGTAGTGGCCGACAAGTCCGAGCAAGTGGTGGCCGACAAGTCCAAGCAAATGGTGACCGACAAGTCCGAGCAAGTGGTGGCCGACAAGTCCGAGCAGATGGTGATCGACAAGTCCGAACAAGTAATGACCGACGAATCCGAGCATGTGATGACCGACGAGTCCGAGCAGATGGTGGCCGACAATTATAGTCACGATGAAGATGCTCAAAGTAGCGCCTGGACTGATAAAATTCGTCTGAGGGAGCATCTTATCGCAGAAATTCGAAAGAGACCTCCTCTTTGGAATTTCAAACTTCCATTAGCAAAGCGCAGAATTCATAGGAGAGAGAGACTATGGGAAGAAGTTTCCATAAAACTTAATAGTACTAATTTTTTTTACATTATATATGACACATCATTCTTTGATATTAATTACACATTTTAATTAATATTAATTGCATGTTTTTTTCTATAGGAGAAGGATCAACTAAGAAGCTCAAGAAGATGTGGAGGTCTCTTTGTGACTCCTTCAGAGTACATCATTATAGAAAGAAGATGTTGCCGAGTAAATCTACGATCTGTAATCCGTGGGTTCATTATGAGAGCATGAAATTTATTTCAGATGTTCAATTACAAAGCTTGTACGTAATATATCAATATTTTCATAATTTTTTCATAATATATGGCAATAATACATCAATATATAAGTAATGTTGTATAAATATTGCTACAATATTAAAGGTGCGGTTTGCTTAAGCGAAGCACTACAAATGCTTCGAAATATTTGATTAACCAATCGTAAGAAAGAATTTTATTAACTGATCAATCAAAAAATGATTTGTAGTGTCAAGCTGGATCGTAGCCTAAATATTCGCAAAAATTTATAGTATAAATATTTGTGGGATATTTTGGCAATATTCTGTAATGTTACTAATATTATATGATATCTTTTCACACAGTACGATAACGAACCCATCGGACATTAAAGCAACGGATAGGACAGTGAACGATGACAACAATTCAACCGATAGATGTGCCAGTAAGCAACTGATCAAGTTACTTATAGATATTTCAATGCATAAAACAAGAATACAATTATATACCTTAATTTTTACAGGAAACAGAGCTACGAAGAATCCAGAACGAAGATGCACGAAACGAAATTATACATAATCTATTCAAACTTTTCGACACTAAACACGAACTTGCGAATAAATTCAAACATAACTAATTTTATGAATAATCCAGTAATCACAGAATAATAATTGTATTGCAGCATTATTATATTGTAACATTCCTGCTATATTGTAAAAATATTACAATAAATGTTGCTATAATGATGCATCTATATTCTATTTATATATGTATTTGCTGGGAATTTTAATTTTAAGTTTTTTAATTTTTAAAAAGCTTTTTTAATAAGTTTTGCAATTTTATGTAAATTCAAAAAATAAATTTTTATAATAATTTATAAAATGTAATTTGCAATTCCGTATAAATGACTCCAGCTTTCATACATGCAGAATACGAGAACACGAAAACATTTCCAACATGAAATCTCAGACTCTCGAAATTAATCTAGCAAATAATCTGTGGACAATAATATTTATTTTAAGTATACGAAGATAATCTTTATTTATTTAAATCTCAACTGAATTTGACAATAATCTTGACAAATTACTTTAATCATCGATTTATATCGTATTATTTCGTAATATTAGGTGGGAAAAAGTTCGTGGCCATGAACGTTTTTCCCATTAGATGGCATTAAAAAAACGCCACGAACTTTTTCCCACACCTAATATTTTTATTAAATTATCTTAAAAATGATTCTCTTGCCACGATACTGTTCCTTCGTTGTTAAAATATTCGCAAAATTCGTCCCTAATTGTAAATGTAGTCATTTATAAGGCATGCTTTATTAATCTGCTTTCATAACATCCGTAGTTATGAAATTGGCCAATCATAACTATTTGTCAGAAGAATGGAACAATTGTGATTAACCAGTTTTATAACTTTGGATGTTATTAAATCCGATTACAATAGTCGTAAGCGTTGTTGTAAGCGATTGTAGTTGTAAGAATTGACTAATCAAGTCAATGTGACCAATCAAATCAAGTGAATGAGGAGAATATTTGACTGTGATTGATCAATTCTTAGGGGCTCTGAACAATAAAAGTAACAGAGAATAGAGAATATGAATTTCAACCTAGAAACTGTGCATTCCACAATACATGATTTCTAATAGATTAAAATTCTTATTCTCTGTTCTCTGTTCCTTTTATTGTACGGAGCCTCTTACAACAACCACTTACAACTACGCTTAGGACGAAATCAGACTATGCATTGAAGATTGAGATTGAAAATTAAAGATTGAAATTTCACCAATAAAGACAAAGAAATTCTGGCTCTTTTTATTTTGATTGGTCAAACTTCAATCTATCAATCTTCAATCTCACTCTTCAATGCGTAGTCTGATTCCGGCCTTATGCCTATTGTAGAATAGGCTTAAAGGGAGCGTTTTATTGGCACACAATCTGTAAGAATTGACTAGTCACAATCTCCTTTCATTTAACGATAAGAAGGAAATACTCGAAGATGATTAGTTAATTTTTATAGATTACGGCCAATATAAACTCTCCCTAAACGTAGTCAAACACTTTCAAGCCGGACAAAGCTGCTAGCCGACCAATTAAATGTGATTGGCTGGATCTATAAATAACAACCAATCATATTTATTTGCCCAGTAAGCAGGCTAGCCGCTTTAAACGCCTCCTATGATGACAAGATTCGAGTAATCTAAGGAATATAATGCACTCATGCCTATCAAGATGATAGCTCTGTTTAATTCATAAGGGAGCGTTTATATTGATCGTAATCTATAGAATTGATTGATCTATTGATATATATATAGAATTGATTAATCACAGTCAGATATTCCCTTCTCATTCGACAATAAGGCGGGTTCACATCTTGATGGAAAAAAAGAAAGCGGAAAAGTGGAAGCTAATCAGAACTCGCGAAAAGATAGAAGCAGACAAACAAAATGTACACAGTAGTAGTAGACGGTACTAAAAGTAGTACCGTCTACTACTACTGTGAGTTCCGATTGGCTTCCTCTTTTCTGCTTTGTGCTTTTCTGTCAAGATGTGAACCCGGCTTAAGAAGGGAATAATCGAAGATGATTGATCAATTTTGACCATAGATTATGGCATACGGCATACGATTATGGCCAATATAAACGCTTTCTAAGGGTGAATCACACGATACAGGAATCAGTGGGATAGAAGATGCGTGATTCGAACAGCCAATCAGCGCTCTTTTTCTATCTCGCATGTCTTTCCTACGATTGACTGTTCGAATCACGCATTCTCTATCCCGCATGCTAATTCCCGTAACGTGTGATTTCACCCTAAATCATTCGATCACCATGATCTGAACAGTTCTTTTCTATTTTTCTTCGAAGGGTACTTAAATGTGTTCCTTATATAAACTCATTTTGATTTTTTTTTACAATACCATGGTATAAATGGCAACAGTTGTAAAAAGTGACTTGTACATACGCGCGTAGATCGTAATTCATGTAATCGTGGAAGTGTATAAAATTTAATAGTAGGTAAGCAGCGTATGTATTTCGTGTCGTATCGTTAGGTATTCTCTAACAAGGTATTGTGAGCAACAAAGGAAGATCTTCCTTTTCGAATCGGGAATTAAATGTAACACGATCGCGTATGTATTGTATTTAGGCCGGTTTTATTGTATTTTGTAGGTCAATTGCACTAATTTAATTAACATTCGGTTATTATGAAGGAGACGGGCTTACTCATCAATTTTGATGAAATTAAGTTCATTCGATGCGTTTTTGTACGAAATAAACAAATCTGACAGAAAAAAGTATTGCTCTGCCCGAACCAAAATATTAAGCGTTAAAGTTAATTGTTAAGGTTAGAAAATCTGTCACAGCCATGCAATAATGCGCAATATGGAGCAGGGTATGTATGGAGACAATACGTTCCGCCCTTCCCATATTGATATATTGATGTGAGAGAAACGTCGCTTCGCATGAAAAATTATAAAGTTATGTGAAATCTTATAAATTTACAACTTATTACGCGAAACAAGATCCATCTTGTATTAAAATATGGGGTTTCTTTTCAAAGTGAAACTCTCTCCGTAGAGTGGGGGAGGGGCGGAACGTACTGTCTCTATCTCCAACACACTTTTCATGCTCACATTGCACTATTGCATAGCTATGACAAATTTCTTAATCTGAATAATCGTCCATTTTAACACTTAACACTTAATATCACAGTTCGTGGAGCAAAGCTATTTTTTTCTGCCAGATTCGTTCATTTCGATGCAAAAACGCATCGAATAAGCCTAATTTCATCGAAATCAATAAGTGAATCCGTTTCTTTCATAATTATCCAACATTTTTATTCGTGTTAGTAGGTCATTGGAAAATTAAGAGTAGTTCCATTTACGCTCACAACACTCGCTTGCATTATTTTTTCTTGTTTAACATTCGATAACAAGAATGAAATAATTCCATAAGCATTGCGAGCATCAAGTGGAACACACCCTAAAAGTATCATCCCCATGTAGCGTGCCGTAAGTAATGTAGCCAACAATTTTTACACAAATTTATGTATATTACACATTTAAAGTCTGTTTTTATTGTCTCATCCTATTCGGTAAACGGAATTCTCAAGCGTGCGCTAATCTACCAAGCCAAGGATCAGCCAAGTATACAGTTGTTTAATTAATATCGTCGCAGAACTCCAGCTAGTAACAGCCTCAATCTCTCAATGTTGTTCCTGTCTAGCTCTGGAGTTTAAATAATGCGATGGAATTCTCAGCCATCTACAATCCAATAATATAACAGTTTGCTTGAATATACTCTCATGGATATATAATAGGCCCCAAACTGCTAACACTAATGCAAATGTCCAATTTTCATTGCCATTTGTGGTTTTAAATTGATTGGACTTTGGCCTCATTGGTGGAAGTGGTGTGGCCATACAACGCGCTTAATATTAATCCACGGATTGTTTTATATGGACCTTGGATTTAAGTTTACTAATATTTATTATTATTATTAGCTATATCGATTGTTAATTTGCATATGATGCAATAATTACTGTATCATGTACAATATGATAAAAAAGGTCAATACTGTATAAGGCTTTGTCTGATGAACAAATAATAGTAGAAGATCACGATACAAGATAGGGATAAATATTTTGTTATTTATGTAATTATACCAATTTTGTTAGCTGAATATCTGAGCTCCTTGTTCGCACTTTTATAGTATTTTAACAGATACTACTCGTGACACAACACAATGGAAGTTGAAATAACACAGACAGTGGTTATGGAAGATATGGCTTCAAAAGATAATACAAATAATCAAAATCAAAACATTTGTGGTGGCGGAACAGTCTCTAGCATGAAATGTGAAAATCAGAATTGGGAAGCATCGCATAAACACTCTATTAAATTAGAGCCTGATACTAGATCAACTGGCACTGACAATAGTAATTATGATATCACGGACGAAGAAACTACATGTCTTGATAATAAAGATGCTTTACACAATGGCTTATGTCAGGAAGATTCACAACACAATGAAGATTCACAACATAATGAAGATTTACGGCAATTTGATGTGTTGGACGATCTAGATCGCCATCCAGAACAGAATGATGGTTCTGATGAAGATTCAGATACAGATGAAAGTATGGATTCTGATGTGCCAGATGAAGAAATTGAAGCGATGCTAGAAGAAGGTACATTTATATTTTCTTATATCTAATGTTTTCATACAAAAGGTATAATTATATTTTGTAATAAAAAAACAATCTAAAAGATTTTCATTTATTTTTGTTTATTCTTTTTATTCTTAAGTAAAAAATCTGCTGTATGTTTCACATATTGATACAATTTACTTGCATACTATCTATTTTTAATTATCTACATATGAGATGCGTGAATTCCATATTTTTTCAAAAACTACAATTCAAGATTTTTAACTTTACGCTTTCAAGATCAGATTAAATATTTTCTGCTGCAAAGAAAATAAAAAACCAAGTAAGGTTATTTGACCTTTACTTCACTTATTTGTACTATTCACACATCAGTCAATTTTCCACTTATTATTGTTCTTATTTTAATTAAATTTTATTGTATTAGGTTTACCAGAAGAATTTAAAGGGAGAAGAAAAGATAAAAAGGATCGTTTGCCCTATGAAGAAAAGGAGAAACTTGTTTTAGATGGTATATTAATATAAAATATTACGAGATGATGTATAATTTCTAATATTTATATATTACTTTTG